AGGGTGCTAGCGAGCCTTTGTGCGGCAAGCATGGGTAGATTGGGCTGTTGTTGCGCCGACATGTTTGGAAACCTGCATTTTAGTGCACAGAATTTCTTATTATTGCACGGATTGCAACTCAGAAGATCTAATCTTAAAAAGTTGCTGTGGTTAGGACAACGATCTCTGCAGCCCTAAACGCGATACCCATTTTAATTGAAGATCTGAATAAAAATCTGATGATTATTTTATAGAAGTTCGAAGCTAATTGAGGAGCGAACAAACGGTCAAGGATCCAGGTATTTTTTAAACCAGAGAGAAATAAAGCTTATTAATTTCCGGAAAGGAGGAAGCAAATTAATGGAAAACGAGCCATTTAAATTTAAAAACGTCTCAAACTGTATCTCTATGACATTTCAAACTGTGGAGAAGATCAAGGAATAACTTATTACACAAAATTATGGGTGCGACTTTATTATGAACATTCCTTAAAAGAACCAAACCTTAGAATTTGGATATCCTTCATTTCTCATGCCTTATTTTTGACAACCCTAATTTACGATTTCTTAATTTTTGTATGTTTATACAATGGATATAGGAAAGAGAATTAAAACAAAAACAGCCTATCTTCAATTTAAAGTAAACTCATTTTCACTTCAAGATTTTAAGTTGTTCATAAGTCTAACAGTCTTCACATTCATCATCTTCTTCCTCTTCTTTATTGAACTCTTTTGTTGCAGTTTTTAAGAACAAACATTTTTTGTTCAAAATTTGAGAGATAAGTCGCACGTGTTATTTCTCTTCAAATTTCTATGGTGTGTTTTGAAATAGAGACATCTTAACTCCAGCAGGACGCGTGATTGGCTAAATTTGAGGCTAATATCATTCAGAATGTGATATTTCCTTAAGAGAGCCTCTGTAAGATCAATCCTCAAAAGAAAAATTAAGCAAAAAACATTCCTTAATTAATGTAACTGAAAATGCATTTGAGAGGAGAGATTTCCTTAATGGATGTAATTGAAACTCAATTTCTTCGAAAAAATTCCTTAAATTAATTTTCTCTAATTTCCAAATCCTTATCAAAATTGTGACACTGTTTGTTAAAATCGGTACCTTGACCATTGATGTACTTTTCCGGCTTGTTTAGCTCAGCCTTAAATTATTTAAAATTGACCCCTTTATTTAAAATTGCTTTCTTATTTTGCTGTCCAGCCAAGGAAGGTCTTGTCCCGTTTTGTTGCCAACTTACAACGAGAACAATCTTTAGATAATCCTTAGATAATCCAACATTCCTTTATGTTAGCTTGTTTCAGAACATCATTCCCAACGAGATGGACTCAAAACTTTTGTGTACAGTCTGACGATAGGACTTGATAAGAGGTCTTGACACAATTATCTCATGATCACTGAAAGATGAACCTAGGAAAAATGATAATTGCCTGGACAAGTAGAGGCAATCATAAAAACCAACGTACTGGTTTAAGATGCTATTTAGCTGCTTAAAAACATAGCTTGTTACGAAATTCATCATTCTGATCAGCATCTTCCAGATAATAAAAATTGTTTTTCGCCCGTTATGAGTTTTCCATTTTCTTCTGAAATGACAGTTTCTAACATAATATCAAATTATCATTCAATATCGTCTTATAAATTCTGAGCGTTTTGCAGTAAATTACAAGGAACAGTATAAAATACTTTTTTTAATTCAAAACTGGAGAAATGGTAGGAAAGGAGGAGATAAGAAAACGATTAAAGAAGATCGCGCAAAAATGATGAAGAGGCAAATGAATCATCGTTTTCCAAATGATGACAAGAAGACTGATAAGGATAACTAGAAAACTGATAACGATCTTGTTTCTGATAAATCTCTAAATATCTTCCCTAAAGAGAAGGGCTTCGAAAATTGCTAACTTGCTAGAAATATTTGTTCTTTCAATCATAACTAATAATGTTTACAACACTCAAGATAACCGCGATGCATACATACATACAATCAATAACCATCACCAGACCCATTTAGAGGAAGGGAAGGCCGGGCATTTGCCGGAGGGTCAAGAAAAATATTCACGTACCGTCGTGAAAGGTTAGTTTGTTTATATTTCTACCAGTTAAGTTTAGATTCAGTTCACATTCATTTCAGATTGGGTTCAGATTTGGTCCAGATTAGGTTCAGGTTTATACTTTATAACATACGTCTAAAACACTAATTGCATAAAATGACTACGAATCACATTAACCAATTAATAATTACATATGATGAATAAAAATTATATAAAGTGTTGCATGCGTGGGAATTTCTTTCAGAGGGGCAACCATTTTTCTGCGATAGTTTGAATTTTTTTCACATATTTTTTGCGAGTGACCAAAATATTAGTTCATTTCAAGAATAAACTTCGATGGTCCCCGTGAAAAGAGAGGTTCTGATTTTTTGACATTTGATTTCGTAAAATCTCGAGCTGGTACTTTATTGCTTTAGTATTGGATGGTGATGAATGAAATGTTAATGCGTTGGCTGTAGTGTGGTATTGTGTGCTATGGTGTTGTGTGGTTAGATGTTTTGCTTGTAATGTATGTTCAAGTATTGTATGGAAGTGAATGTAGTGGTACTCTGTTGGCTATAGTTTGGCATTGTCTGCTATGGTATTTTGTCGTTAGATTCCTGCTAGTACTATATTCTATTATGGTGTTATAGCTTAGTGAATGTCATGACATTGCGTTTGTATGCTATTTTTTGCATGGTTAGATGCTGTGTTTGTACTGTACGCAATGGTTTTGAATGTGGTGCTACTGCTTTACATTCATTTTTTATAAGAAACGAAGTCGACATTTAGTACTCCCGTTTTTTAACAGTTTAAGAAATTCCAATAATCTTTGTTTCATAGGAGTTACTTAACAATGACGTCATCTACTTCAACATTTGGTTTCCTAGATTCCGCTTCTGTTTAAATGCTGTACTTACATTTGTCTAAATTG